GTAATTCCTACAGGCAAGGTTTATCTCTCTCTTGTGTTAATAAGTTATTATTGTTATTGTATTTCCCCACGAACTGCTTTAGAGAAGGGTATAGTTTCTTAAAGAGAAAAGAAGCTATACTTACCTCTTGGACATCGCATATATCTACGAAAGGATTCCCTGTGCCGTGTCATCATTATAGAGTAAATTAAGAAGGCTTTACTTTGTAACAATAGTCTTGGAATGGGGTTCCATGTCTATGTATTTTTTTTTTGCATATCCTATTTGCCTACAAATTTCAAATTGATATAAACCCTCCCCGATCAGAGTAGGTCCTTTTGAAACTACATGCATAGTGCCTTTGGCTAAGATATATTATTCTCAGCCTTCTGTTAGCCTTTACCAATCATTAGTAGGTCACAGAGTGTCCACACATAGTGAATTGTCAGAATATTTTTTTTCGAATTGAACTTTATCTATATAATATAATCTGACAAAGAAAGATTAATCTAACTATCACTTATATTTTATATACCATATCATGTTTGCTATTACAACCAAGTTCGTTGAAGAGCACAAACTCACTAAAGAGATGGGCCTCGAAGAGCTTAGCCAATACGCACCAGAAATACTTGACCTCTTAACAGATGATAAAGAGAAAAGGCGCCAAGCCCGTAATCGTCTTATAAAGGGGTATAACTTTAGCAAAGAGCAGGCATTTGCATTGATTCCACTCCAGAGAGTTGGGAGATACAAAAGTCAAGTGCCCCTCAAAGAAGGTGGAGCAAAAGCTGAGGAAGTGAATATATGTCAAGTATCTGATAGTACTTGTTTCAGGGAGACTATTAAAGAAACGGCTCAGCGTATTATGAAAGATAAACTTAGTAAAAAAGATATAAAAGCAATATCTAGAAACTTAGTTGAAACTGCCTCTGATCTCGTTGTTGTCTTATCCTGTCTCTCTAGGCTTCGAAGAGAATTGCGAGCTATCAATGCTTCAGAAAAAATAATTTCTGCTACATTAAATCCAGAGGTAACCAAATTATCTAACAAAGTCCAAAAAGAGTGTAGCGAGCAACGCGAAAATGAAGGAATCGATTTTTCGGACCACTTCTCGTTAGAATCAGTTAAGGAGAGACTGGATTTGTATAATGTATCTAATATACCCGATAAACAAGCCCTAGCTGATGTAATGATCATGCTCTGTATTCGCCCTTCAGAAATTAAAAGCCTGCGCATATTTAATGGCAGTATAACAGATTATGCAAAAAACCAAGGTCAACAGGACATCCCTCGAGTATTTAAATCACTGGAAAAAAATGAAGATCAGGCAAGACAATTGCTTACATGAATTCAGGAAGCAATCATTTCTGGGGAGTTAAGGAATCCAGGAAAGCTTGGATCTACATACTTAAGTACGTTTCTGAAAAAAGATGAGTTTTTTCCAGAAAGCGGTAAGCCATTACTTCCTAGCTCTTTACGCAAATTAGAAGCAGTATTTGCTTCTGTAGTATATGGGTCTAAAAATGTGTCGAAAGCTAACACTTATGCTAATGAAGCCCTTCGGCATTCACCCGATAACCATGCTTCTCCATCTAAGAGATACACTATAGTCAATATGCAGAGAAGAGGAGAACCATATAATCAGACAAAGGCATTCGAGCTCTTCGATAAAAACTAACAATAAATTTTCTTGGAAGGTGGGTTAGATGTCGTTTATTAAATTTATTTTTTCATTCGCCTAAGATATATCATACTATAAAATATCACGAAAATGACAACTAATCAAAAGCATTCATCGGATGGTACACTTAATGAGCCAGAAAATACCAGACATATTGAAAAAATTGCTAAGTTATTTGGATTAGACAAGCAGAATATAGAAGTATATAAAGCGCTTTTTGGACAGATTTGGGAGCTCGAAAAAAATTGGAAGATTATTATTCCAAATATGAAAAGCTTAAAAGGAGGGTCAATTTATTAGAAGCTGAAATAGAAGATTTGGATGAATGTGTAGATAAAGAAACTTTAGTCGACTTAATACAAGAAATGGTTCCATCGCTAATTATTAGAAAATATAAGAAGAGAGGTTTACTTTGTGAGCACCTAAATAGATCTGACTCTAGTTTATCCGACTCTAGTTTATCCGAAGATTCTGAAACGGTTAAATGCTACTATCCTAAAAAAAAAAGAAGGTACCGCAGAGGAATCAGGTAAATACAGATTCTAAATCTGTAAAGTTTAGAAAAAATATATAATGAGTTAATATCTTCATTAAATAAACAAATAGACAGTTCCTTGGAGGACCACGTAAAAGAACTATTGTCACATCATCCTATAAAGAAATTTAGAAGGAGGAAGTCTGAAAGACCAGGCACAATTGTTAAAATCTCACCCAATCATTGCTAGTCTGGAGCAGAGATCATCAGCATTATGTTGTTCTAAAGAATTTTTTCTGATTGAAATATCTTCTAACTATATAGAGTTAATTTACTAGACCAACTTCCCCCAGAATTAATACCATTTATTATAAAGGATCTTTCAAACCAGGATCTAAAAAATTCTTATAGTGTAAATCATATATGGGAAAGAGATGTGAATTTTGAATAGTCTAAAAGAATAATTCTTACAGATATTCGATTTGGGGTTGATATGGGCGCTAATGCAAATTACATTAGTAGAAAAAATGTGATAATAGCATACGCAAAAGATGATAGTATTCCTAGAGTAAACGGGTTTCTAGATGAGTTTTATTCTGCATTAGGAAAGGTCAATCTACATATTATCTTAAATGATGGTGAGAAGCATAAAATCATACCCACTGAATTCATAGTTATTGGATCAGGTTGGCCTAATCAATTTCCTGAAATACTCTTGGGCTCATTGTGGATGTGTAAGCTTGAATATGTGTAATTTGACGCTAATAATAGACAATAGTTTTGTGATCTCACTGTCAAACTAGTTTGACAGGTCAAATCCTTGAAGCCAGGCTTTTGGAAAAAAATAACACTGGTGAAATTCTAAAAGAATAAAAGTCTTAGTTAATAAAATCCATGTGTTTGAAATATAAACATGTCTAATATTCAAGATATTTTTGAGGAATAGGAAAAAAATAGTTATACCCAATACATGTTATCTGAATATGGCTTAAACTATATTAGTAATTTAAAAACACCAGAAGCTTGGCTACGATTTGCAAAGTATTATTCACCCGAATATATATGTAGACGTTTATTTATACCAGGACATGAAATAAAAGGTAAGAACTATTGGAGAAACTTTGTATTCCATATTAAAAATAATTTAACTAGAAGAGAATATATAGCCAATAACTCTGAATTTAGAGAATTTAAAACCCAAGTAGCATATTTTAAAACTTTGTATATAAAAATCGACCGGCAATTATCATCCAACAAGCATTTCGTTTATAGAAAAAACGAATAAATTCGGCTAAAATAATTTAGCATGCAGTGAGGAAATGGCTTTATCGACCAGATGGCATATTAATGAAACGTGCCCAAAATCGGTATTATCAAAATGCTAATAAACTTGAAAATTTGAGATAACTGGGAAGACTTTTGCTAACCCATATTAAAAATTTACTTGAGCAGTCTGATCCAACTAGTCCAGGATACTGATCAGTAATTCGAAAAATTTTTTGCTTAGCCATATATACCACTAGTGTTTTATTTTTTTCTGATTGAAAATCTTCGAATCATATAAAATGCATATAGTTAATTCCACAATCAATGAGTAATTAATCTATCAACTTTTTTCCCGAAGGTTCTGGCATATTACACCTATTACAAATTTTTAAATTAGTATTATGCAAGTCAATCTGATGCCTCTGATGTTAGAACGAGACAAGAATGGAAATTACGGCAGCGATTTACAGATCTGATTCTACAGGCACTATAGTATCATCCATTCTATATAATAAAATTTCATTATAGGTCATTGTTAGATTTTATAGGTATGAATTGAGGTTAAAAATGATATATAGTTATGTAAAAAACGAGTGCAATCCCTATACTAATTAATTCGTAAATGAACAGATCGCCAAGCCCGAAATTGTTTTTTTAAAATCTGCAAATTAGGTTTGTTAGTCGTGAAGAATAAACTATAAAAATAAGCAAACTATAAGGGATTTCGTTATATAAAACTTATCTGGTTATAATTGAAATATGTCCACCACTTCTACTTCTGCACCATCTACTTCCATTAATAACATCAAAAATCTTGCATATAGTATTTTAAAAACTTTAAAGGATAACATTGTTAAGAGTAAAAAAATTTCAAATCTAAGTAATTGTTCAGAATGTGGGAAAGAAATTATTTCGTATCCTCTTAAGGCATTTACAATACTATCTTGTGGATATGTGTTTCATAGACTTTGTATTGAAAAAAAACTTTTACTTACAATTCCAAATACGTGTCCATTTTCTGGTTGTAGT